AGAGAGAGAGAGAGAGAGAAGGGCAATTCCAGGCTTTTTTTTGTTTGGGAGGATTTGGAATTTTTTTTTTTGCTTTAAGGGATGGCATTAGGTGGGCGCCCTGACCGCCTAGGCGCCCGCCTTAGGCATGCTTGCCCAGACCCCACTGCCTAGGCTACATCTAGACAGTTTGTAGGCTAGGCTGCTTAGGCGGCAGAATTTTCATTCATTACATGTATCTGAGTCAAGTGTGAGAAACCAATTTCTGAACAAGAAAGCATGCATCTACGTATGCATGCTTTGAGTTAACTCACATTTTCCTGAGGCCAAAACAGGAAAGGCTTGTTCCTTGTATCTATAATTGTTAACTGTATTTGATTAATAAAAAACTTGGGATACACAATTATCTTTCTGATATACAAAATTGTAGTCTACTTTGAACACTAGGACTCATCGCAAGACTGAGTTAACTGCTTTCGTTACTCCTTTGCATGTGAGTCTGTCTCTCCGCTGCACTCCCTCAAGAAGTAGTAAAATACAATAGATATATCATGGATATGGTGCTTGTCTACTTCCCCAACTAATCACATTCTGTTCCATTTTTGCTCCATCCACCTTAGACCTAGGACATACCAATATCATGTTACTTGAAGTTTGGCTAACTTGTTTGAAATATTATTTTGTCTGTCCAGAAAGTATGTAGATTGTTACATACATATTTTCATCTTTGGTTGCTTGACATAATATTGGAGGTTCTTTATTTGTTTATGTGCTAGGGCCTAGAATAAGAATCGAGGGCATGCTATATTTCCTGGCTCATAATCAACTTGGAGTCTAATCATTGATTAGAAGTTAGAACTGGACTTGGCTGTGAAATTGGTGACATATTATTTGACCATGTTTGTGCATTGATTATTGAATATCATCAATTTCTTCACTTGAAAGAATCTGACCAAATTATTCTGGGAGTTGAAAGACAATTCAGATAACGAAGATAATATGTGCATATTCCTTTTTTTATTGGAAATTAATATTTTGATTGTTTTTTAGTACTCCACCTTTATCTTTTCTATAACATCCCCATGTATCTATCTAGTTAATGTTGTCCATGGCAGTTCAGAGAATATGTCTAGTACAATCCATGTTCGTCTGATTTCACCTGTGCTTCTAGAAGTTCAGATATTGTGTTCACAATATCCTTTTTATTATTATTATAATTATTATATAAGCCTAGTCCCCATTGACTATGTGGTGAAATGTAAGGACCATGCAACAAAGATTGGATAACAATCATGTTCATTTGCGACATACCCTAAACATGATTTTAGGTTGACACGTCACACTAACGATCCGGGTATTATTTGGTAGGCATTTTATAATTGGGCTATTGCCATCTCTGACCGAGCGAAAATGCGAGGCCGAACTAAGGAGGCTGAGGAATTATGGAAACAGGTGGTGCTCATATCATTCAATGCAATCATTACTTGCTATACTTTTCTTAGAGCAAATTATATAAATTTAAGATCATGTTTAGTCTTCAGCATTGTGGATGAGAACCATACCTATAGAACTTCCTTCTCGGTGGAGAACTTCGTTTCTTTGAATTTTGACAGAATCTTCTTTTTTTTGCAGGCAACCAAAAATTATGAAAGAGCTGTTCAACTTAACTGGAACAGTCCTCAGGTATGACGAACTATGATTACACTTTTATCATAATGTTCTTGACGAACTATGATTACACTTCTATCATAATGTTCTTTGGTTTCATTGGTGTTAGCCCATAGTGAATGTAACTTTGGTCCACTTGATTTGTCTTGCTCTAACCATGATTTTTTATTTAAACAAAAACTAATATTTCTCATAGTTTCAACTTTTTAAGGCTGATGCCTTTTGACTCATTCATGGATCATGAATTTGGCTTGTCAAATCTTCTTTCGAGCCACTTTGATGGCGTTAACCTGTTTGTAACACTTTGGCCAAGAACACTGAGGTTCCTTTTAAATGGGGAACAACATACCTTGTCTTCACGCCTCTCTAAACCAAGGTGAACAAAAATGCCTTTCTGACTCGGATTGGGTATTGGTGGAACCATCCGGATCCACTAATAAAATGGGATCTGGCCATTTTTCTACAAGAAATCGTTTGATGACCTCACAGATCGGCGTCATGACATCACAGATCGGACATGTCAACGGTCACGACGTCACGAACCAGTTCTTACATCGCATTTTCCACCTTTTGACTTATATTTTTTAGTTAAAAAAAAACATGGTGTACCACCACCAATCCTGTTCCAGGACATCCTTATTAACACGTGGCTTACCTCCTGCTAACACTGGCACTCAATTAACCTCTTGTGTTTGTCGTTCACTTGCATTGTTGGGTTATGGACCTTTTAGTTGAAGACTCGTGCCAACAACTCCTCCATGTGGGATAATGTTTTCTTATCCAAACCCTCTCTTTCCTCTCCGACCACCTTTTGTCCCATCCCTCTCTCATTATACCTCCCTACCTTCCCTTGATTTCCCCTTCCACGCGTCCCCTCGAGCCTCACATCGTATCCCACCTACTGCTTGCATTGCCCCTTGTCCCTCCTTCCCTGCAGCAGCCACCCCCTTTTTCCCTCTTGCCGGCTACCCCTCTGTCGCCCTCGCCACTTTCTTCCCCTATGCAGCAGGGCCACCTGTTTCTGACAATGCCGACGGCAACAGTACCAGCACCAACAGGCCCTACTTTCGTGCCTCCCTCATAGGCCCTCGCTGCTCTTCAGCACCTGCTCCCCAGCCTTCAACCCACCCCAGCTGTTCCCTCTCCCTCCTCTGAAACCAGCGAGTCACCTCTCCACGCCCCCACGACCCTCTACCCAAGTGGGTGACTCTCCTCTCCCTCACCCCCTTCCTTCCCCTCTCTCTCCCACCTTGCTTCACCCATCTTCCTACCCTAACCCTGATACCCCCTCTGTAACCCCCTCCCCTTGGAGTTCATGCGACTTCTCATCGTCTAACCCCCTCCCTTCCTCCTGTACCCCTACCCCTAACCCGCAGGCTAACCCAACCCCTCCTTCTCAAACCTCATCGCTGTCGGCCTCTCTGCTTTCCTCACCCTCACCCTTCTCTCTCACCTTCTACCCTCTCAACCTTGGTGACTTTCTTCAACCTGTCAGGGATAAAATGTCTTTGGACGGTAACCATTTCAACAGGTTCTCTAACAGGAACCTTATTCTGTTGGGAATTGTAGCAGCTCATTCCTTGGACCGTTCTCCCCCTGACCTAGCTTCTGTTTCAAGCCTGCTGCCCCCGTTCTTTCCTTTACCCCACACCTCGTACACATCCACAGAGTCAGTACCATCCATGTTGCATGGCCCTCTTCCTCTCCCCTATTGTTTTCCAGCTACTCTTCCATTCAAATGCACCACTACCTTACGTATATCCCTTCCTCCTCTTTCACTTACCATCCCCAGGCTTTCCTAACCCTTTCGGTTAACCCTCTCACCTTGGCCCAACAAGCCAACCTCCCCCTTGTCCCTCAGCCAACTGTCCCTCGGCCAGCCTTTTCTCTGCCCCCTCCTCCCCCAACTGCTATTTTTTCACCCCCTGACGCCAACCCCCCACTGTTCTTTGACCGGCCTGCTCTACCCCCTGACCTCTACCCTTCCAACTCCTCATACCCATGGCAGAAGCTGAGATGGCTCCCCTTGAAAAGGCAACGCCCACCATCTCTTCCTCCCAGGCTATCGTAGAAGCCGAGGAGGTCGACAAGGATGCAACTAACAGGATTGACGATACAACTTTGGCAGAATCAGTTCCAGGGTTCCCTGTAAATGCTTTGACCCCTTTCTTTCTCTCCCAGGCTTTTGAAGGAGTCGAGGAGGTTGATAGGGATGAACCAAACAGCATTGTTGCAAGGATGAGAGAGATGTACAGAATCATCGGTTTCGAGTACGATGGACCGAAAGGACCAGCCCACAAGTTCGTCACAGCTGATGCAAATAGTAGGTTACAGGTGAGATTCAGAGGCCAAAGAGAACTCTGCAATCTTTTATCATCGATGCCATTTGCTGGAGAGCCCCTTGCTAGCTCTCCCGCTCCTCTCTCCACTGACTGTCCAAGGAGGTCTCTTAGATTGGCCTCCATCCTCTCCTTGCCAACGACTAAGTAATGAAGATACTCATCTGGAACGTTAGAGGGCTAGGACAGTCCTCCAAGAAGAGTGTTGTTAAGGACCTCACCTCAAAACTTTGCCCTACTGTTCTGGCTCTCCTTGAAACCAAACTCCCAAAACCTAACCTACAACTCATTCGCCAAGTATGGGGGAGAAGACCAAGTCAGTGGGTCTCCCTACCGGCAAATGGGGCTTCAGGAGGGATTGGGGTGGTCTGGGATCCCTCAGACTTCACCCTAAACTCTTCCTTCATAGGGGAATTCTCTGTGACCATCCTTCTCTCCAGCATCTCTGATGGGGTCCCATGGAAATTCCCGGCAGTCTATGGCCCAACATCACCAACCCTCAGATGCATACTATGGTCAGAACTGGGACATGTAGTATCCCTTGCATACCCCATTTGGTGTCTGGGAGGGGACTTCAATGTCATCCGATGGTCCCATGAGAGAAACTCCTCAAATTCTATTTTCTAGGATATGAGGGATTTCTCAGACTTCATCAGTCGAACAGAACTCTTAGACATTCCCCTCCAGGGATATTGTTTTACGTGGTCCAACCACGCTACCAATCCCACCCTCTCAAAATTAGACAGCCTGTCCCTAAACTGGGAGGAATATTTTTCGAGATCCTCATCTTTAGCCCTTCCGAAACCTACCTCGGACCATTGTCCCATTTTGCTTGATACAATTGTCGTTCAGAGGGGCCCCATGCCCTTCAGATTTGACCTTCATTGGCTCCAAGAAAAGGACTTTCTTACCTTTCTAGAAACTTGGTGGAATTCCCCTGCCTCACAGGTCTCGGGCAGAGCAGGGTATATCCTTCAGACCAAACTCCAAATCCTAAAAACCTCGCTCAAAACTTGGAGCCGGTCCATCCCTGATAACTTCTCCCAACTCAAGTCGGCCCTGTTGAATACCATCCAAGAGATTGATCATCTCGAGGAAACTAGACCACTGGAATCCTCAAAGATTGACCTTAGATCAAAGTCTAAACTTGAATACCTTTCTACCCTCAAAAAAGAAGAGATCTACTGGTTCCAGAGATCTAGAATCACCTGGTTAAAAGCTGGCGATCATAACACTACCTTTTTTCATCGCATTGCTAATTGCCGCAGGAGAGACAATTCGATTTCGATGATAAAGGTCAATAACAGATACCTCACTCAACCAATTGAGATAGAGCAGGCAATATTAGACTTCTTTCAAACTCTATACTCAGCCCCGTCATACCCTAGACCGAGAATGACTTCCCTTGATTTCCTTACCCTCACTCATGAGAAAGCTGTCTGGCTAGAGCAACAGTTCACAGAGGAAGAAATTTTATTAGCTATCAATGCTCTAGCCAAAGACAAGGCACCGGGCCCTGACGGATTCCCGATTGCTCCCTTCAAGGAGTCCTGGGACTCCTTCCGTTCTGACTTCATCAAATTCTTCGAGGAATTCTTCCATCGAGGTACCCCTCCACAAAGCCATTAAATCTACCTTCCTCGCTCTGGTCCCCAAAATTGAAGGTGCTGAAGAAATCAAAGATTTTCGCCTAATAAGCCTACTGAATTCTTCTTACAAGATCCTGGCAAAAGTCTTAGCCTCTAGGCTTCAACAAGTACTTCCCTCAGTTATATCTTCCTCACAATCTGCCTTTCTCAAAGACAAACAAATTCTTGATGGGGCCTTAGTGGCTCATGAGTGCATCCACTTGAGGCACCTTGGAAAGAAACCTGGTCTTATTTTCAAAATTGATTGGGAAAAGGCATATGACATTTGGACTGGTCAATACTAGATGAGGCGATGGCAAGAATGGGTTTTCGGTATAGATGGAGAAAGTGGATGAAAGGTTGCTACTCACATCCACATTTCTCCATTCTTATCAATGGAACCCCAAAAGGTTACTTCCCTTCTTCAAGGGGTCTCCGCCATGGAGACCCCCTCTCCCCCTTCCTATTCGCAATTTCGACAGGGGACTTCAGTTGCTTCATCACCCGGCTCTATGAGATTGGCCTTCTTTCAGGTTTCAGGAGTAGTAGATATGACCCAACTGTGTCTCATCTGGAATATGCGGATGACACTTTGGTGTTTATTGATGCCTCTTGTAACGAAGTAGAAACTCTCAAACTCTTCCTTAGTTGCTTCTAAACAGCGACAGGGTTCAACGTAAATATGGAGAAATAAAAAATGTTGGGTATAGCCTTGACACCAGTAGTGGTCAGAGCCTTCATTCCGAGGTGGGAGTGTAAAGTGGAAGATTTACCGACTACTTATCTAGGCCTCCCTTTGGGATTGGGGAAACCCAAGAAAAGGCAATGGTCCCAATTCCTAGACAAGGTAGACATGTGTTTGGCAGGGTGGAAGGGTTGATTCCTCTCTATGGCAGGAAGAATGACTATGATCAATGCTGCCATTGCGAAATTTTTTTTGGTCGGGGCAGGCGGATAAGACTAAGTTCCATCTTGTAGCTTGGGACAACATTTGTCTACCCAAACAGCAAGGAGGACTTGGTATTCGAATCCTTCGTAAACAAAACCA